TGATTTTTGTTTCCTTGAGGTTACCGTTTCTAAATGGGTTAGAAGGTCTGAATAAACACTTTGATCTTAAAGTTAGATTATAATTATTTAAGTACTTAAAATAAATGTTTCCTGTTAGCGTTGTGCTTTCTTTATGCAAATTTGGGATGAATTTTTGTTTTTTCTTTAATATTTAGATTGTGGGCAAATTCAGTTTTTTATGTCTCACTGCTTAATGGGTGATTTAATGATTGTTATAACATTAATTAATGGAACAAGTTTTTAAAAATTAATACATCAAAGTACGAAAAACAAAAAAAAAAAATTACTCACCACACTTTTCACACACTTGTGTGTAACAAAAGATAATGACAAAATTAGTATTTTCTTTTTCAGAAAAAACCATCGCAACTTTAATAATTTTTAGGTATTGAATGATCAATTTCCATTTTTTTTAAATATATAAAAGAAATCAAATAAAAATTAAATAAAGTTTACTGTTCTTTAAAAAAAGTTGAGTTTTGTAAATTTAATATTAATTTATAACTTAAAGTAATCTTATAATCTATTAAAAAGTTAATTGATTAAAATAAATAAAATATTAAATTTATAATTTTAATTACATAGTAAAATATAATATCATAGTAAATAAAAACACATCCACAAACCAGAATAAACTAATACATTTAAAAAAAATTAAATTCGTAAACAATTTAAAGTATTAATTCATTTACTCCATACAATTAGTTAGACCAATTATAAATTTTTTACTCTCAAAATGTTTGTGCATTGAATTAGATTCAAATATGGTTGAATTGGACTCAAAAATTTTGCATCTCTTAAATGAATCTTTATTAATTTTGATTTTTTAATACTCGAGCTTTATCCATCTCATGATAGAATCTATCTTCATTCCATGTGATAATATTAGTTCATCATGACTTGCTATATTTTCTTCCAAACCAAATTTCACAACAGGAACCTTAATCAATTCTCACTACTTAAATATCTTCCTTTGTGAGAGTTCAAATAGTAAGTAGAGTTTGGATAATTCTTTAATTGAATCCTCGTTTAATATTCCTTAAGTTCAACTAGACAAAATACTTTCATCCTATAAAGTTATTTCACTTTTATCATGTTACATTCAAATACATCATGTTACTCATAAAAAACTATGGTCATCTTGAAGCAATTCAATCTCATTCATTTTTACCATATATTTTCAATAATTCGCCATCATATAAAAACACTTTAATTTGACAAACCAATATTTCTCAAAAACCAATTAAACATGCATTTTAAAACTCATTTTTCATTGAGTGACACCTTTGCTCTCTCAAAAATTCACCTAGCGAGTGTTTCAGTCAATGAATAAAACCTCTGGAAACAATTTTCACAAATTCGTCTAGTGAGCCTTATCTCGCTCAACGAGTGAAACTTCCTTGCCTCTATGGCTTTAATTTGAAATGTTCTTGCTCAACGACTAAATCATTCATCTAGTGAGTGATACCTTATTTGCATCTACAACTTTATAAATTATGCTCTCGCTCATCGAGTGAAACACTCACTTAATGAGTTTGTATATTTAGAGGTCGTAACAAATATTTAAATATGTTCAATTGGCCTCAATGAGTATTTGTCTTCCCTTTCACAAGTCCAAACAAATTATGAGTTTAAGATAATAAAATTTAAATCCAATTGATCTAAATTTACATATCTATACTCAAAATGCTCATCAATCAACACATATAATTATCCTCACTTACCAATTTAATAATTTCACCATTTACACCGATAATAAATAAAACCAAAGCATATGCACAATTCAACCACCCACACTCAAAAATTCATCATCCATTTCATTCAACAATCATAACAAAATTCAAATATCTACTTCTCCTTGCTTAGATACATGCTTTTAAAGTCAAATTGTATTTAACAGATGCTCTATGTAACACCCCAAATTTGGGATGCCATGATTATGAGTGAAAATTTAAAAATTTTAAAATCATAATACCATTGCGGAAATCCAAATTCAACAAGTCTTTACAATTGAAGAAAAATAACCAAAATTCTAATTTAATTATAAAATAAAACTCCATATAAAATAGTTTATTCAAGCAACCATAAATTCTCTAACTCTCTCAATCCATTCGTCACGCTATACAACATTCGAACTAACTGCATGATCATCTGTTTCCATATAAAAATGATCATCGTAGGTGAAAACCACGACCACAACATGTAAGGGTGAGCTAATAGAAATATCATAACATACAACATAACATATTCATATTAAACAAAGAGTAAGATAACCATAAAAACATATTTCATCACAACATTAACATCATAACCAAATCATTCATGAACTAATGTCGTTTCCTTGCATTGTGTCGTCATAACTTGTTTCGCAAAATAGGGCGATTCGAGTCATCTTCCATCGCAACTTCGAACCTATCTTCCCGACTTCTCAAGGACTAACGAGTAAAAACACTAATACTCAACACGAGCCGAAGCCATTGGGCGAAACATCTAACCCTCTCGAGTCCTAGCGCAAAAGGAAGGATGACACTCGAATCTGTGTCTCTACGCAAGACTCAACATCCCTAACGTAGCGTAGTATAAAAAGCTCAAACATGACTAAACACAGTACAAGAAAATAACAGTTTCATAATCGCATCACAAATCAATACAAAATCTCACAATCAACCAAAACAAGCAAGGTCAACTTCCCTTACAATATCATCATAAATTGATCAATGCATTCAGAATAATACCAAAATAAACACCAATTTAACACAATTAATCATGGACATATACAAACAAGATAAGAAAGAAAATAAGAAAATAATAAATCAAGAATCAAGAATAAAGAAATCAAGGATGTAACCAATCATGAATGTAAGCTCCTCTTACCTTGGCCAATACTAAGACTTTATCTACACCCTAAGGATCGCAAGAAATCTCCCTTTGCACTAATGTTTTCTACCTTTAATCATTTTCTTCTCTCCAAAAATGTCTCTCTTTTTATTTTTCTAATAACGAGAGTTTCTATATAAATAAGAGGTGTCTAATATAGTCACAACTATATGTGAGATTAATTTTCTTGCATGGAATATACACATAGGGTATTCTATTTATAATAAAACACATAAGAAGTAAAAACAACCAATTAAGATAAAAGATATAGATAAGATAAAATAAATTTATCTTTAACTTAATTAATTTTGATAAGTCCTTATATAATATATTATATCTTAATATTTTTATTCTAATTAATTATGATAAGTCTATCAATAATATATATTATTATTATCTAACCATAATATCTAATTATATATAATAATATCTCAATATATCTTTTTAATTAACTATATAATAATATTCAAGAATATCTTTTAGAATATATAACAATATCTAATAATATCCTTTTCTAATAATAATATTTTTTTAGTCTAAATATTATATCCCGTATTTTCTTTCAACTACATTTTAAAATAACAAATAAATCTTCAAAAAGATTTTTATAATATCTTGTTATTAAATTCCCACATTATTTAATTTACATATTTTTCCTTTCTACACCCCTATTTTGATTTTTTGCACCTGAAAAAAGTAAAAGACATTTTTTGCCCCTAAGTCAATAATGCAAATTTACAAACAAAAACACCAAAGTCACAAGACTACCTTATTTCCAATATTCTTATTTTTTTCTCGAATCTTACACTCTACCTTACAAAGGTTGTTCTAGTTACACACCGAGAACTCTGATCAAGAATCATAACACACTCTTATAATCATAACCTAACATATATTCACCTTGAGCACTTTAAACATTTTATGCAAAAACCCTTATCCCTCCATAAGAAACAAATTCACTAATGTGACTCAAAAGAAGAGTAAAAGATAAAGTTACTATGCTTAAAACTTTGATCGAGTAGAATTATAAACATCACCGCCATGAGTAATATAATGTACATCGATTCTCAAACAAATAAAACATAAAGTCAAGAACACATAGAAAATAATAATAAAAATTTGAAGTTGTAAAAAAAAACAATCCTTATAAAATAAAATTCAACTAATAAAAAATTCTATTTATAATTTTACTTTTAATAATAAAATAATCAAATATTATCTTTTAATATCACTAGTGCTCATCATATCATTATAAAAAAGAAAAAAATATTGAACTAACTCTTGCTTTTTTTTTTCTCTTTTGTCAACAAATTTTCATTAATTTAGACTTGAGAAATAAAAATGAATTATTTTAAAAGTACACTTAAAAAAACACTTTTAAGTTTATAGACTAAACAAATACTATAAATTTTGGAAGACTATGAATGAAAGTCATCTCGAAGACCTTAAAATATTAAATTAAGATTCAAGAATCGAAATAGATTTTTTATTTTATTTTGAAGAAATAAAAGAAGATTTAATCTAAATTTTAGGAACTAAATAATATTTACATGTAGAATCACAATGATATCGAACGAAAATATGATAAATGTGCAATTTATGAGTGGTAAGACGAAGGAAAATATTATTTACATTTTGTGTTATTTACACTATTTTAATCTTAAATATGATTTAAATATTCGTTAAGTCTCTTTGAGTGTTTTGTTTTCGGTCCTTTAAATTAAAGATCACTTTTAAATTTCTAAAATTCAGAAAATGATTTTTTTTTGACATTTGTAATTAACCACCCAATATTATACTTCAAAATATTTTTTTAATGTAAATAATCTACACAAATTTTGTCCTATCATCTAATTGTAAAAATATCATATCAATAATAATTTTTAAATATTTGACCATACAACACTTTTCTATACTTTTAAAATGTAATTACGTTGCTTAATCATTGATTAGACAACGTAAAACTTCTAATTGAAAGGGGTGTTGCGAGAATCGAACTCGCGACCTCTCGCACCCGAAGCGAGAATCATACCACTAGACCAAACACCCTCCTTTTGGCTATTCACAATTTATATTTAAAATTTCTTCTTCCTCTCCCCACTCAAACTAGGGTTTCATATCATCGTAATATGCCCTTTATTTCAATCAATTATCAAATAGCTTCGGTGATCATTGTAACTGCCTCTGCATTTGGTTTTCATTTATTTGCTTGGATCAATGTCTAACACCAGCAACAATGTAAGTGCAGAATTTTGGAATCTCCCCGTTTCATCTCCGCAATCCGTAGATGGTTTCGGAAGATTATTTTTTGTTTCTCTGATTGTCTACATATTTGACTTGAATCAGGTCGTTGGAGTTGACAACACATTCAGAAGAAAATTTGATCGAGAAGAGTACCTGGAACGAGCACGGGAGCGCGAGAGAGAGGTGCGTTGGTGTTTCTTCTATACCCTTTTTTATGCTTCTGATTTTTAAATAATTTAGGTTGCTTAATTTTTCGTGTTTGTGTGTTTGATTTTGAACAGGAGGAGGAGGGTCGATCGAAACCTAAAGGTAAGTTACCTAATTCGTATTGAGGTTGGAGTTATGTTTGCTTGAGTGACAACTACAACATCCTATTGGTGCAGCTAAAGGTCCTCCCGTGCAGAGGAAGCCCTTGAAGCACAGAGATTATGAAGTGGACCTGGAATCTCGCTTGGGCAAGACTCAGGTATGTTAGTGTCAACAGTGATTACTAAGTTCAATGCTCTAATCTAAATGAGTTTCAAACATCTATACAGTATTCTGTTAAATATATAACCATTGCATATTGTAGGTCACCAGGGGTAACACCCACTGGTACCAAAATTTTATCACATAATCCTGCTATTCTGCTGTACTGACAACTTGCAAACTTTGCAGGTTGTTACACCGGTTGCACCACTAAGTCAGCAGGTACTTGCTTTTAACTTTTTCGTATTTGTATTCTGGCACTTTTGGATTAGAAAAAAGGTTGTTCTTTGCTCATTTTGATTTCTGGCCAAGTTTAAATTCTTCTTGTTGATCTTAGTTTCTTTTTTTAGGGGATATGTTGTGTGTTTAGGACGAGAGTCATTTAGTTACACACAGGTACACTTTTTTAAAATGTATTTCAAAATTTTCTAGTTACATGTTGAACTTAAGTGATAACGTTTTTGTTTCATTCATGCTTAGTGATGCATAAGTCGTGTGTTTTGACATGTTCTTAAAAATTAATAATTGCCATAATCTGGCTGTTAATTTCCAGGAGAGCAAGACATTACTGAACTGTCCTTAGTAAAGCACTTTTAGAAATCTATGCAATTGTGAACACTCACAAATGATTCCCATTCTTTTTTCTTTGATCCATCACCAATGCGAATGCCTTGTGGTGCACAATTTGCCTATGATATCCAGGTTTAGTTAAATAAAACATATTCGCTGAAAATGGACATCTTCACTGCCTCTTGCTTAGGGAAATTTTCACCCTTGTGATGTGGTTGTTAGTTGTATATATGTTTGTTAGTTGTGTATATGTGCCAAGGGATACTTGGTATAGGACTTATTAAATGATTTCACAGTTTTTGTTTGCTATCTGGATGACCTTTTTGTTTCACCGATGATTTACAATATTTGGATTTAATTATATTTATTGTAGGCTGGATACTACTGCTCAGTTTGTGAGTGTGTAGTTAAGGACTCTGCAAACTACTTGGATCATATTAATGGAAAGAAACGTATGTAGTCTTTTTGCCATGCTCCTCTAATTTTTCTATGTAATTGCTTTAAGTGCCTGTTGTTCGCTCATATTTATTATATTGTTGTCCCTTAGATCAAAGAGCTTTGGGCATGTCTATGCGAGTAGAACGTGCTTCTCTCAAACAGGTGCAAATTAAGATTGCCTTCTATTAGCTATGAAGTTAAATGATAAATTTCATACCTTTGTGTGTCATTTAGTTTCTACAGTTATATATGTTCCTCTGCACGACTAGTAAATCTTTTAATGGAACAGGTCCAGGAAAGATTTGAAGTTCTTAAGAAACGGAAAGATGTTGGTAGCTTCACAGAGCAAGGTAAGACATTGGATTGGAGAAGGGTTGACTGTTATTTCCATAGAACCAGGCAACTTTAAAGTCAGTGTCTAATTTTTTCTGCATGGCCTGAAATTGTAGAAGTTTAACTGATCTTTCGTTTCAGTGATGGGTTTTGAACTAAACTTGAGGGAATCATATAACAATGTGGTAATTTTAAATGATTAAACATATGATTCCTTAAATACTAATGTATTCTATGGTCTGATTTTTTAGGAGAGTAATATGTTTTCTAAACTTATTCATGTGAAATTGTCAAAAGATTTGGCAGCTTCTCCACACCATAGTGCAGCACTGTTTAAGATGGACTTGATTCTTGAATATGGAAAATAACTTCTATTTTTTCACAGATCTTGATGAACGGATTTTAAAACAACAACAAGAAGAGGAAGAAAAAAAACGTCTACGAAGAGAAAAGAAAAAGGAAAAGGTAAGACTCTGTGTACATTTGCTTATTTTTAGTTAGAAATAGCCAATAGATTGGAATAAGCCTTTTTGTCATCCTCCCCGTACCATCAAAGTAAATGTTTCTTTGTCATTTACTTGTTTTAGCATTTAATAATTACATCCATCTTTCTAATAATGATTTATAATGTTATCTTAACAAATGAATATTGCTTTTTATTTCTCACAACTCGTGTTAAATTTTTGAATTCAGAAGGAAAAGGCAGTGGAAGAACCTGAAATTGATCCTGATGTTGCTGCCATGATGGGGTTTGGAGGTTTCCGGTCATCCAAGAAGTGATAACATTCTGCATGCAGAATGAATTGTATGAGATTTGGAATATTTATTTCACATTGGTAAGCTGAATCCTATATCTTCCATGCTCAATCTGAGAGGCATAAGCGGAATAATGGAACAGTGGATCCCAAACAGTAGTATGTTTGGTGATATTCGATCATGTGCTTCGGTTGATTCATGTACATTTCTTCTGATGGCTAACTTGATGTATTATACAGAGCTCCAACCATAGTGGGGGAGTCAACTGCCGTAGCTAACGAAATTAAATATAGACATTCGATTCAATCTGGGTTGTTACTGTTTTTTGAGTGTAGTTGTTTTTATTGAAAATAGAAATATAACTACAATTTTCTGCATTATCTTTGGTTATACAATACTTGTTGCCAGGATACTCGAACCTGCATGCACTTGCCATGGTTATGCGTTCTAATTCCATTGACTTTTGGTACACAACTACATCTAAAGCGGGACAATTTAGGGGAGCTTTCTTTTTTCGTTTTAGGGTGATCATACACAAACATTAAAATTTTCATTTAACACCCTTGTAACATCTATAACATACTATTTTTATTTTAAAATATAAAAAAAATTATGATAAAGTAATTAACAAAGTGTAAATACTATTTTTTATGAAGTGTGGGAAAGTGATAGGAAAAGAGAGGTGTATATGTAAATTTTTCTCTCTTTTTAATGTGTTTGTAAAGAAAAATCTAAGTGGAAAACAGAGATAATTATATTTGTAACAACTGCATTTTTTTTTTAATGAAAACTGTATATTGTTAGTAAAATAATTGGACAGTAAATGTTAATTTAAGATGGAGTCCGGATGAGAAATTTTGGTAAGTTGAAGTTTTAAATATTTGAAATATACATACTATTTTAAATTTTTTGGCTTTTTAACTGCCATATTTGAATACACTTTTAATTTTTAATTTTTGAAAAATGTATTTTAATTTCTATTGTATTAAAAGAATAGAATATATTTTTAAATTTTAATGTTAATGTTCAAACTTGTGCAAATAAATATTAGGTAATTTTAAATATTAATAATTAAAATTACTGTAAAATAATCTTTAATACAGAATATTTTTACATCAATATCAATAATATTGTTAGATAAGAGATGTATAGAAGGGAGTAATAATATAATTTAAATATTTTCATTTTATGAAAGAAAAATACATATTCTGAAATTTTAATTATTCCATTTACTAAAAGAATAAAGAATAATAATAGTGAAATTTATTTAAAAGATCATAAAATTAAAAATATATATTTTAAGTTTAATATATTTCCTTTTGTAATAATAAAAAAAATGATTAAAACTAAAATATTTCCATTAAATTTTCAATATTTTGATTATGAAAAAAGAAGATGATTTCATAACATAATTATTTGGACACATGTTAGAAAAAGAAAATTCAAGAGAGGAAAAAGAAGCTCAAAACACTCTGGAGATGCGGGGTATCGATCCCCGTACCTCTCGCATGCTAAGCGAGCGCTCTACCATCTGAGCTACATCCCCTTTTGTTTGTAATAATTGAAAAAGGTTACTTATAATATGGATAATATACGTGGTTATTTTCAATTTTAACTTTTAAAGATTTTAAGAGGTTTAATAGTTTTAGAAAGTCCGTCCTATATGAAGTTAGTCATAGTCATCATTAGTAGATTATTTGCGTGTCATCCTTTTGATTCAGAATATGATGATAGTAAAACTTATATCTTAATTTTATTTGTAGATATAATAAATATATTTAGGGTAGAACTTTTGTAATTGAGTAGGGCCACTGATAATTATCTGAAACAGCACTGTATCTGTTAATGCCACTGTTTCCATTATGCATGCAGTGCAAGTTTTTGCATGAGGTAATTTAATCCTTGGTCCTTGTTTAAGCAAGTAATTTCATTTTGAATCTGAAACAAATACAAGAGCCAAAGACAAACAACATTTTTATGTTTAACCTTTTATGTAAAACCAAACAAGATTACAATAATGAAGTTTTGGTGTGAAGGTTTCATGCATGGCCCGCTGCACTTTGCTGCCACTGTCGAAGCCATCAAATTGCGCCTCCAGGGCTTGCGTAGCTGTGCATTAAGAAAGTCATTTCTACGTTACTTGTATCCCAAAACAGTGCTAGGACCTCGAGTTTATGATGATGATTATAACCGAAAGCTAGGAATTAGTTTATGATGATGATTATAACCGAAAGCTAGGAATTTAACCGTGTAGGACCTCGAGTTTATGATGATGATTATAACCGAAAGCTAGGAATTTAACCGTGTTGGAATACGGTATCAGTGGGGTTGATGTTGCTTATTCAAATGATGTCTGGCAGAACCAAAACTCAGTTTATGCTACTGAGAAACTGAAACCCATGATCTTCAGTCCACATTTAACTTTGAAATAGGAATGAAAAAAATACATGATAAGGATAGTTGATATTATAATTATTTATTATATGAAGATAATAAATATTTTCATATCTGTTTAAAAATATTTTAAAATCCAATTTTATTTCTTATTCAATTATTTAATATATAATTTCGTTAAAGTTTCACGCATAAGGGAATAGGTTTTCCAGAATGTATTCTTTTTAATTTAAGAAAATCCATTCTTTTTTCTTACATAATAAATTCATTGAGACACGTTTTAATTATTTCAGGATAGGTTTGCATTCCATGAAAATCCATTTGGAATGAAATGAGGTGCTCAAGAATTTACGGGGTGTGAAAAAGTTGCTTCCATCTATAGAGACCCATGTGGGCTAAACGGGCTGCCTACGGGCCTTCGCAAATATACCTAATTCTGTCTGAAGAGACTGTAAGAGAGGAGTAGAATAGGAATTACAAAAGTAAAGTGGAAAGACGAATAAGCGGGTGTAAAAATCATGGACCAAATTCATCATTCACCACAGATTATCTGAAATTTTATCAGCACACAACGGAGAAAGGAAGTGAGGAATAGGTTCAGTCATTTTATATTTAAATAAAATTGAAATATACTGCAATTTCGTACCATCAACACCTCCAAATCGTAACTACAGAAACAAACTTCTAGAAATGAGATACCAGACTATCTCTTGGTAATGGACTATTTGATGTACTGAGAAAGCCATTTGAAACCTTCCCCATAACCCATTTTCTTCACAATACTGCACATGAACACCTCCATGGCACGGACATTTGAGTCGGCCAAATTTACCTTACCTTTGCCTGTGGTGAAGTTAGTCAGGCCCAAATGGTAACGCAGCTCTTCTTCTGAGGCAGCATATGGAATATCAATTTTGTTCCCAAGGACAAGGAAAGGGACATTGGCTAAAGATTCATCAGAGAGTAGAGCATCCAGCTCTTTTTTTGACTCAGCAAATCTTTCCTTGTCATACGCATCAACCAAGTACACCACTGCATCTACCTGTATCAAAGAAGGATGCAACTTGATCATCGTCACAAGATAAATAAACAATAAAATAATAGATCCGGGGCAAGAAAAAATGGGTCCTAGTTAAAAAAATGTCACATAACACCAAATAAGATATAGCTTCGGAAGCAGATATGTATGATTAGCACATCCTCTAAAGTGCGCCATCAGCAAGCTATTACCGTCATTTCTGCCACTACACATGAATCAAATAAAGTAACAAACAATATAAAATAGGAAGATATAAATTCTTTGGTTCAGAAGTAATCATATAATGAAATACATATTAATCTTTCAGAAAATTCAGCAACTTCATTTAGTTTCCTCCTCCTAATTTCTCACCTACCATACATACCTCGTGCAGCTCTATTCCTGCAACTACTATCAACACATATTAGCATGTGTAGCCATGTTAACAACAACAAAAGTCTTATGCCATTAATTATGTGAGATAGCCTGCATGAATCCCACAGTGCTGTTTGGCTCTGTTTAAGATCAAATCATGTAACCATGAAAAGAAGACAGAAAATAAATCACATATCTAGAGAAGGTTTAGCGGCACCCAGTCATATGATTTTACACAATGTGTGATTAAGATAATCTCAGAGATTACGATCACCCCAATACTACATCAACAATAAATTCCTATTCCACTAATTGAGATTAACTATAAGGATCACATGACTACTTCGACTTGGTTTAAAACCATGCCTCATGAAGATTATCCGTCTTGCAACAAAACTATGTTGAGGGGAAAAAGAAAGAGACCTGAGCATAGTAATCTTTCCACACTCTTCGAGCAATCTGATGACCCCCTAGATCAAAAGCTTTGAACTTGATCTTTCCAATACTCAACTCCTCTGACGTAGGATACTGGGTGGGCTGATGCTGGACTAATCTCTGCAAAACCAATTCACATAATAAAAACATCAGACCAAGATATGGCAATTGCAAGAAGCTACAGACTGAGAAATACACATATCTTAGTCATTCAATATTCGATGTCAAGAGAAACCAATAGACCAAAATATGTCAACACCGTAGCAAATTGTGCAGAGAGCAAGTTAATGTTAGGAAGCTGAGCACTTCAACAAGTTTATGTCACCTTCTCTTGCTAAAACAAAGAAAGGCTCCACATGGGGAAACATACAAATCCATCAATACTAAGGAAAAGTCGTAAGCTCCCCGACCCCTCCTTCTCCCCACAGCAAATAGCAAATAAATTATGTTGATTTGAGTATCCAAGTAACACCGCTAAATCAGAAAGACATAAATAACATAATAAACTTTTTTCACTACCCATATCATTTTTCCAGTAAAGATTAAAACCAGTGTTGGAATAGGAAAAGTAAATAAGGGCAAAGATCCAATCAAAAGAAAAAACAACACTACACATCGGTAACGATTGGAATGAAAAAGGGAAAAAAATGAAATCGAAGAGGAACCTCGTCTTTGAGCATGTGGAGCAGGGTGGTTTTGCCAGCGTTATCGAGACCCAGGAATAAGATCTTGGCCTCCTTCTGCCACAGCCCAAGCGACGCTAGAATCCCATAAAACCAATCGACCAAAAACATTTCTTTTTTATCTACGAATTACCTCTATTACTAGTACCGATAAATATCGATCTTCGCCAACTGAAACAGAAATTGAAGTTTTGTTTTGAGTAGAAAGACCTAACCCCAAAACCAGAGGAGAGAGAAAGTAGTTCGTTACATTCGATTGGACTCTATTTGTTTGTAACATAAAATGTTTTTGCTACTTCTTTTTTTTCTAAAACTAAAATTTATTTTGGTATTTAAATTTTAAATTTATTTAATAATGTCTTTTTAAACCTTGATTGTTTCTGCCTTTGAGATACAATTTT